TAGTTTAATATAGAATATTTAAAAAAAAAAATATTGTTTCTAATACTTATCTTAAACATTTAAAATTATTTATTAAAATATGTAAATAAGTAAAAAATCTTTGTTAATAATTTTAAAACAAATATTTTTACAAGGTTAGAATTGTTTTCCTTGTTTATTTTCATTTAATATTAAGAAATTTTATTTAATAAATGACTTTTTATTAATTAGTTTCGAATGAAATATTACAAAGTCTTATTGATCGAGAAGCCTGTAATTTTCTTTTAAATAATAATAATAATAATAATGTTTATATGTTATTTTGTGTATAAGAAAGTATATAAAACAATAAAATAGACACTAAAATAAACATAAATTATAAGTTACTTAAAATAAATTAATAATAACCATTTTTTCCTTCTTCATATTTTAAATAAAATTTAGTTAAGGCTTACTTAAAAAAACAAAAACAAAAATATTTCCTTTATATTGCGTCATAATACGTCATATTATTGTTTTTCTGTCTTTACAAATAACCTCTTTTATTTTCATACTTAATTGAGACTGTTAATAACTGTAATAGAATTTGAAATACTTTTGATGTAAAAAGAATTTGATAAAAGATAATAATTAAAATAAGTTTGTTTCATGTTAATTTAAACGAAATAGCTCAATTTGTCCAAGGCGTTGTACACATTGTATTATTATTATTATTACTTCTCTTTATTTTATTTACTTTTGTTTTTTTATTCTACCACCGTGTAAACTGAGGTCATTGATGACCGTTATTTTTAAAGTTCTTTTAATAGAAATAAGTTAAATGGCCTAATTTTATTTACTTTTATTAATTACATTCTATAAATAATCAAAATCCATTTTTCTATTACGAAGATTTATGTTTGTAATACGATGTTAAAAAATTAAGATGTATGTCGTTAATTGACTCTCCTTATTTCGTAATTATTATACGAATTTTAATTATACTTGTCTCTTAAAAAAAAGTTATTTTCTTGTAATTGAATAAGTGCTGTAACCTCTGTGACTTTTAATAACTTTTTCCTTATAATTTTATAAATAAAAATAAATTTACTATAATATTATACATTTAAAATGTAATTTTTAAGTGCAATTTTTTAAATTATTATTCACTTCAATCCGAAAGTAATTCTGTTTTAGAATGTAAACAATATGAAATATATATAAAATTACAAATATTTAATTATTTTTCAGCTATAAAGATGAATGTTAAATTCATTCAACAGGGGCTTTCAATTCAGTTTTCACGTTTAGGAAGATTAATCGCAAGACAACCTTTGTACTTTATTATTTCACCTATTATTATAACTGCTTTTTTCTGCATTGGAATAACGAGAATTAAAAATAATAGAGACAGTGATAATTTATTTACTGCAGAAAATGGACGAGCCCATCAGAGTAAGAAAATTGTGGACTCTCTCTTCTCTATAAATACTTCTTCATTTATTGATCCACCTCGTTTGTTAGAGAGGAATGAATTTAGTCTTATTCAAATAACAGCCAAAGATGGAGGTACACTTCTTAAAGAAAATATTTTTCAAGAAATGAAAATTTTAGACGATATTATAAGAAATATAACTGTGATTTCGAATGGTCAAATTCTTAAATATAAAGATATTTGTGGACATAGGTTTAAAAGTTGTTTAAATAATTCAATTTTTGATTTAATGCATCATTCAGAAGATATTTTACAAGGAAAATATAATGTTAAATTTCCTGTCGATATGGATACTTTTACTTATTATTTTAAATCATATATTTTAGATGTTGGAGGTGTTACAATTAATAAAGATGGATATTTAAGAGATTTTAAAGCTGCTAGAATATTTTATATTTTAGATATTAGTAATTCTCATAAATTGGAAGCTATTAATCAATGGCAAAATAAATTACATAAAATAATAATAAAAGCAAAATTTGATAATATAATTGTAAGCATTTTAAGCTTAGAAGGTATAAAAGAAGAAATAAAACTATTTAGTGAAGTACTTCTACCACTCATTCCAGCTGTCATTTTAAGTGTTTCTGTATTTTCTTTTTTAACTTGTCTAACTAATGATTGGATTCGAAGCAAACCGTGGCTAGGACCATCTGCTTGTATTTCTGCAGGATTAGCTATTACAAGTGGATTTGGATTGATGTTTTTTCTTGGAATTGAATATGTCGATTTCTCAATTGCTTCTACGTATGTTGTATTAAGTAAGGTTTTTGATATATAATTTAATTTTCAATATTAATTATTTGTGTTCATGTTTATCATTCTATATGTTCAGGTACGGAAATTGACGATGCTTTCGTACTCATAGCAGCATGGAGGAAAACTGATGCGAAAAAAACCGTTGAGGAACGAATGGGCAAAACATATTCAGAAGCAGCAGTTTCTATCACAATAACATCTGTAACAAACATTTTATCTTTCTGCATAGGAATGGCTTCTTCTTTTCCAGGTGTTCGAATTTTCTGTGCGTATGGAGCAAGTGCAATGTTTTTTACTTATGTCTATCAAATTACGTTTTTTGGTGGATGTATGGCTTTGAGTGGATATCGAGAACACCATAGACTTCATCCATTTACTTTCAAACATATGCCTATAAAAGGTAAGAAAAAACGCTTAATTAATTATATATAGGCCTATATATAATTAATATTATAATATAATTAATCATTTGAGTGAGTTTTATTGTCTCTTTTTTTTGACAAATAATGTAGTAATTTTTATAGGAACGAAAAATGAAGATATCGAATGTAAGGACGAGATATTCATGGCATTTTTTCGAGATAAATTTGGAAGCATTTTAAAGAAAACTATTGTGAAAATTATTATTGGTATATTATTTTTCATTAACCTTGGATTTGGTATTTGGGGATTATGTATGATTGAAAGTGGAAATAACTTTTCTGACGTATTCACTCATAATTCTTCAGTTAAACGATTTACAGATTCGATGTATCAATATTTCGGTAAATATACTTATCCAGTGCACATAGTATTTGATCAACCTTTAAATTATGCAGACGAATCTGTGCAGGTGTCTATAGATAATATATTAAAAAAATTTGAAGAACACCCACACATGGCAGATACTTCTTTAAGATTGTCATGGTTAAAGTATTATAAACTGTTTATGAAACATCCCGCTGGGAAATTTATGTTACGCGGTTATAATATATCGCAAAAACAAGATTTTATAGATGGACTTCGTTTTGTATTTCTTAAAATGCCTCAAGCAAAAGAATTTTCATTAGATATAGTGTTTAATGATAATCACACTGAGATTTTAGCAAGTAGATTTCTATTACCAATGAAAGACATATCAAGTCAAGATGATGAGTTAAAAGTTCTTAAGGACCTCAACGATATTGTAGATGATTTGCCAATGCCAATAACTATTCACAGCTTAACATTCCATTTACTAGAACAAGCCATAGTTATCAAGAAAATGGCTGTACAGGTTGCATTATTAAGTGCACTAATAATATGTATTGTGTTCTTTATATTTGTGCCAAATGTCGCTTGTGTTATCTCGGTATCAACTATAATATTTTGCATTATTTTAGAAACTGCTGGTTATTTACATTTTTGGAATGTTAATATTGATATGGTATCCGTAACAATATTTGTAATGACTGTAGGATTTTCTATTAATTATCCTACGCATATATCTTTTGCTTTTGTAATGTCAGATAATCTAGATTCTAATGAAAGAATTAAAAAGTCACTTTACGAAGTGGGTTTTCCTATAATGCAAGGTTCGTTATCCACCATATTAGGAGTATTGATTTTAGCACTTCTACCCTTTTATGTAACTCAAAGTACTTTTAAACTTATCTGTTTAATTGCCGTTCAGACGGCATTTCATGCCATGTTTGTCATTCCAGTAGTTTTCAGTGTTTTGGGACATTGCGATAAATCTTTATCATTTAACTCAAATTTACCCGAAAAATTAGGAAAAGAATTTATTTTAATTTCGGAATCAAATGATTCGAAATAATAAATTAAGTTACTATATAATAAGTTTATTTTAAGTTATCACTTTCTCTTNTTTAGTTTCTTATCAACCTATAATTTATTAAATAAAATTTGCATTTTAAACTTTTAATTTATTAATACTTATTATTCTAAATCAGTGTTTTTCAACCTTCTTGAATACGCCACCCCTTTACAAGTTAAAAAAATTTTGGCGACCCCCCAGAGCCATATTAAAACTATATCAGTGATTTTAAAAACTACGTATTTAATTTTTTTTCTGTTGAGACCTAAATATCGATCGAAAAACCAATTGTACTTTAAAAGAAAAATGCAAAGCCTTCTCACTGAAATTGTAGCTTTATTTATTGTAGTGTAGGACCTACAAACACTTGTCTTTTTCTTTTACCCGCGACCCCCGTGTAAGGCTTTGCGACCCTCCTGGGGTCGCGACCCACAAGTTGAAAAACACTATTCTAAATCATCATACAATCTTTTCCACTGTTTAAGGGAAGGTTTGTAGAAAATATAAGAAACTTTGCAAAAATAGTTCACACTTATCAGAATTTTGTAAAACATTTCTTAAATAGCACAAAACTTGCAAAATTATTAAAGATTTCAAAAATTTTCTGAAGGATTTGCACTATTTTCAGAAAAAGATAGCACACATTGTTACAACAAGATACATATTTCGTTATTAGAGGAAACATTTCAATTATGACATGGATTTCAATATTAGAGTTTTACACGGCAAACATTAGAAGAAATATCAAAATTTAATGAGCTTATTGCAAAATCAGAGTAAAAATTTATAGAGGTTTTCAAGACTATAATTGCAAAACACAAGCTAATTTGTGTTTTACAATGTTTCGTGTACTGTCCTCTCTTGCTACAATAGAGTATAACCTAAAATATATTTTAATTAATTCGTAAAATTAATTGAACAATATACAGTATATGTTCAATAAAATTCCTATAGGTTAAAGCAAAATTCCAAATTCCGAAATCAACCAGATGTTATAAAAGTAGTTCGTACCAGAAAGAGGAGCATACTCCTCCACTTGAAAGGCTTCCTAAGAAGTAAAGGAGGTTCCCAGCATTCCTTCCCTTTACAGGTCGTCATCGCTGTTCGTCCTACGGACTATCTTTAGAACGTCCATGAATTGGTGTTGCATACAGAAGCAGTTTTTTCCGCTCACTAGATGCACATTTTATAACACAAGAATTTCTCTGTATATATTTTGAACATACAGTTTTCTGTGGGCTACTCTCCATGTGTTGTAATTAAAGTATACTCAATAAATGGAACTCGACGGTGTCATGGTTTCCATTTCACACTTTCCTATCATTCTTTACTTTTCTTCCCTCTACTCACTTCCTCTAAAACTCTTCATCCTTCCTTTTCAAAGGCTATGCCGTAAGGTTCGGCCTTCTAACACGTTTAATCGTATCATATCATATAACACAAGAATATCATCGTATGTTATAAGATCCAGCGTTCACCATTCAGGTGTTATACAGTTTCAAAAGACAAAAGAAGAAACCATTGGAATTTTTGTTCATGGTTGGATATCTAAGGATAATGCAAGACTAAACTAAACACTATGAATAATACTGACCGCTACGAAAGAGACAGTAGCGTAGGACAATAGATTGATATGAAGATATAACGGCTGCAATTTTTAATCATATTTTTTAATTTATTTAATTTAAAATATGTTCTCCACCTCAAATTAGTAGTGTCTTGCTCCTGTACATCATACTTTTCTTGTTAGGAATAGAATTGTGCGGGTCATCCATCTAACACCTTTAACAGGAAAATTTTTGAATTGAAACAACGTGACTTTTGGTGAAAACGTAAAGTCACGTTGTTTCAATTCTAGGTGATGTCAGAAGATGTTAATGTCAGAAGATCCTGACGTTGATGCGTGACATTCTTAAGAGGTAATGTCATTGTCTCGCCCATTGTTTTGTCACATTCGTATCAAATTAATATGGAGATAAGTATCTCTCCTTAACAAGGCTTGTCTTAATACAGTAAAGATATTATTAATATCCACAATCGTCTTTTATTTATTGCACGTGTGCTTCATCAAAAAGTAAAATATTTTCTCCATTTAATTGAAATTCCCATAACTCTTGCAATGATAAATTACTTACAGTATTTACAATGCTTTCAGTAACAGTGCAAACTATCCAAAAATTTTTGAAATCTGTATAATAATTTTGGCAATTTGTGTTCTATTTAAGAAATGTTCCTCAAAATTTTGAATATTTTCAACAATTCTACACTTACTGATTCCTTTATTTTTAACAAAACCAATTGGAAAGTGTTTTTAGTGACGTTTTTTTCGAAATTTGATGAAGTCATCTAATCCCGAAGATCCGTATGGTTCTCGTAATACTCAAAATAGCTGTCGTAAGTCAATGAATTGGGAAAAATAGTGGCCAATGGAGACAGATAATCCGCCACTGCCTTTCCCAATACATCGACTAACGACAGCTATTACATTTGTATTTACCAGACTTTTTACAATAATGTAACTTACGATATCTTTTATGAATATAACACTTTTCAAGTCTCTTTGAAATTCATCATCTTTTACACCTCGGAATCGAATAATCTGAAGAGTGCCACAGCAGAGTTTACTTTTATTTTGAGGTATCAAAAGAAACAGCTATTGCCTACAGAGGGTGATGAGATCCTCAAAATTAAGGTCAGTTTCGTCATGACCTACTCAGATTATTTTATTCTATCCCGACGTGTGAAAGAAGGTAAATTATGAAGAGACTTTTTTCTGTATGATTTCACTTTAAAAAAATAAAGCTAAAATTGCTAAATTAATTAAAATATTACGAAAAAAGAATAATTTGAATCTATTAATTAATCTATTAATTTAATTAGGTACAAGATTTTCCAATCATTTGTTAATTAATTAAAAAGTTTCGGATATCGTTAATCCTAAATAATTTTTACAACAAACAATAAACTTTTGGGTTCAACTTTAAGAGTTAAAAAAACAATTAAAATTAATAGAAAAAATACAGCAATTGAGAAATAATTCATACCTTGTGATTTTCTCTCGTTTGAATTTTTGCTCCTGCTTTCAATTGTGGATGGTCTCGTGGTACTTTACTTGAATCCTTTGACAATAGAAAAACTGAAAGCCCCGAAGGAAATAAAAATACGAAAAGAAGTAAATGAAGAAAAGAAAGCAAACCAAATGAACAAATGGAATCTAAGATAATGTTTAAAAAATTCCAAAAAATATCATTAAAAACGTAGAAAAAAAAATGACAATGCTAAGAACATCCCAGTGATTCCCGATGAGAGCCAGATAGCCTAAAATTAAACTGACAGACATCGAATAGATCACGGATTTTAGGAGAAAGAACTAGTAAAACATTAGTCAAAACACAAAAAAGTACACAGCTTGGAAAATATCCTGTTATCTGACCTACATTCTCACTTCAATTGACTAGGAGATTTTATATCAAGAGAGGCCTCTTCTTTCACCTTTATACATTATTTAAAATTTTTTATTTTTGTATATATAATATAATAATTAACTTTATAAAAAGTTTCCTTATGTAAAAGTTTAGAGGAAATGTCACTGTCCCCGAATATCTTAAATGGCTGTAATTCTACAAACTGAAACTAACTAATGACCATAGAAACTAATTTTTAAACAGTTAATAAATTTCAACTTTCGAAATAAAACATCTTTAATTAATAAAAATCGATTCACGAAATTCTCTATACCCTTTATTATGTCTTTAAGGCAATTCAATCATGACTATGAACTCGTTTAATATTTTATTTTCGCAACGTTAGGTTAATGTACTGTTTTCATTACATTTCAGCTCTAAATTCATAATTACAACTTTAGAGACCGTAAAGACACTTTTCTCTATATACTAGGATCGACAGTTATTAAAATATTATGAAATATTTAATGTATGTAAGAGAATTCTTCACTTTTCCCGAATTATTAATAGATATTATTTTTATTATTTTATATAAATGTAATAACAAAGAACATTTCCTCATAAACATGCTTTTTTTCAAGACGTGATTTATAATAATAATAGTTTTTATTATAAAGAAATAAAAAGTTATTATATCTTTAATAAAATTTTATTTCAGTTAAAAGTATTTATTCTTCGATAAAATAAGAATAGCAAAAGTTATTTAATATATTTCACTAGGAAAAGGTCACTTTGTTTATAAAAATTATGCAATTTTTATGTTTGATGAATATTTGTTTAACATTGCTAGCATATAAAGCATCTATGTTCTAATTTTTTTTTCTGTAAGTGAAACTATATTATTAATTCAGTATTTACCTAGTTCTTAAAATACTTTATAGGGAAAGTGTATTTATTTCTCAGGATATCACTACCTGAAATGATTTACTAAATTTAAATTAAGTTCCTGAACTGAATTAATACATTAAACATTAAATATAGTAAATAATTCTACCAAAAAAATTAATTAAATTATGGCTATTTACTACTTTTCGTTGCAAACACAAAATAAAGCTTTTTTTTACCTGTTTCCCAAACTAGAAGGACTTTGTTTNAAAAAAAGACAAGACAACTATCATAATTAAATTCAAAGTCATTATCTAGCAACAACTTGTATTTTTGTTAATGACTTCTAATGTAATCTATTCATTTACTTATCTGAAATTTTCTTATCATTTAAGCATATTGTTAAATTAAGTTTCATATCTATATTAAAAACTTTTTTAATTTAATACTTATTAGACATTCAAATTTCTTACACACAATTTTAATATGGTGCCGTTTTCAGATTAAAATTTCTGATGAACTAACACTGCAATGCAAGTGAAAAAAAAATTATACTAGAAACATATTAAACTTGATAAGTAGTGCCAGAGATATATTAAACTTCAGCCTCTGGCACAAATAGAATAACAGTGTAAATAAACTGAAACTAAATACCAAATATAAGAATTCTTTTTATATAAAAACACACAAAACAAACTTCCTAATTAGTTT